AAAAAAAAAAAAAAAAAAAAAAGTGATACATGACTTTCTCCTCAGAACTGACTGAATCCTACTTGTGCCTATGAGGCAGTGGTTGGGGGTGGGGTTAGTGGTCATCAAGGGCAATGAGAAGTAGAAAAAAGAAAAAACCCTGCAACCTAAGCCCTAGGAGGAGAGTGGCAGAGCCTCCCTGAGCTTACCCCAGTTTCCTCTCTCTTCCACTCCTTTCCCACCAGGCCACACTTACCGGGGCTAAACCATCAGCCACCAGGGCTGCAGATGGGTCTGGTAGCCTGAGGTTTGGAGTAGGCAACTGTCCAGAAGTCCCTGAGAGTTTGTGGCAGGGTGGCAAGAAGTAGCACATTGTCTCACTCTCTTCCCTTTCAGTCCTGAAGCTTGGGGACTGAAGGAAGGGACTGGCACAGACCAGGCCAGATGCCTGGAACACCCTAGTTGTGTCACTTGCTGAGCTAATTGCCCGAGGCTAGATTAGGGTCCAATCTGGGATTGCTTGGGTGCTTGCCTGGAGATGGACTAACTTTGTTTTTTGGGGGGTTGAGGGTGGGAGTGGGAAGTGGAAAGGAATTCAACTCCTGAAATTCTAGCTAGTTTTAGGGGCATTCTGGGTGCTACCTTCTCCCTGAAGTGATGCCAATACATGGTTCTGTAAAGTCAGAGAGCACAAAATTCCACCATTAGTTTTTCTTAAGAGTCTTTATCTTTACTCTTCCTCTTTTAAAATGCAAACACTCCTGAGAGACTAAAACACTTATAAATTCACACATTTGTAAATTCCCTTGGTTGCTAAGGAGATGAACAGCCATCATAGAGCCAGCAAAGGCCATTTGGGCACAGAGAACATTTGCGACTGGCTGATATATTTGTGAAGAAAGCTCTTTGATTCTTGGAGCAACCCCATGGGGCTGTTAGGATGAGCATTATTTCCTCTGCTTACAGAGAAGAAAACCAAAGCTTGAAGAAGTGGTTTGAGCAAACTCGCAAGATATGGTGCTCTTGCCACTGTGAGGCACCTGTGATTTTTCCCACCAGTCCCAGCAACCTGCAAAGGTGGGGTGTAAAAGCCCCCGGCCATCCAAGCGAGTTTTGAAATGGGCCCACTCAACCTGAGTGCCGAACTTCCTGGACTTGGAGACCATCTTCTTCAACACAACCACCTCTGTATCAGGGCTTGTGCAAGGCTCTGAAGGGCAGAGATGACCTAGACTGTTCTCCATGAGACGGCTCTACAGCACCTGGCACCCCATCCTGAGGTCAGATGACAGAGCACATGCCCCCAGCATGACTCAGAGTACTCCAGTCTACAAGAGGCCACAAAAATCATGTTATTAAAAAGCTGACATGACTGTCATACCCTGGGGGTAGGGAGCTTGCTCTGAGCTGTGTCCAGTAATTGCAGCCAGGGGCCTGTCTGCCTTGCATAACTGGGTAAGTGGGGTGAAGCTAGAGGAGTCCCCCAGGCCCAAAATGTCACATCTGAGACCACATTCGTTGGGTTGCTCTACTTCCTTCTCCTCATCCCTTTCTACTCTCCTTTCAGAACATCTCTTAAAATACAAATGTGGCCCACCCAGGCGTGGCTCAGCGGTTGAGCGTGGGCCTAGGATCCAGGTGATCAGGGTTTGATTCCCGATCAGAGCACATACCTGGGTTGTGGGTTCGATCCCCAGTCGGGGGTGTGCAGGAGGCAGCCGATCAATGACTCTCTCATCATTGATGTTTCTATCTCTCTCTCTCTCCTTTCCTCTCTGAAATCAATAAAGATATATTAAAACAAACAAACAAACAAACAAATGTGTTGTTTTCCCTGATGCCCAAAATTTCCTTCCCTTCCTGGACTTATTTCTTAAGATTCAGTTCAACTGTCATCTCCTCTGTCAGAGGCAGTTAATAGCTTCCTTCCCAGGCTTTCCTAAGCTTTCTGCCTACCATCATTTGGGTCCTGGAGCGGAGCTGCTGGTCCCTGGTGCCCGCATGCCTTGCCCGGTTGCTCACCGCTACCCCAGTGCCTCGAGTCTTCAGCGTAGAGCAGGGTACACGGCCCTGCCCGGCCGAGCGCCGTGCGTTCCCCGCTGCGCACCCATGTGCTTGTGCAGACGTGCCCTGGCCGCGGGTGGAGGGTGGCTCCTCGGTCAGCTGCGCAGGCCCTGGGTGTGCCTGTGGAAGCAGCGGGGTGCGGGTGGGGGCTCTGAGGACCAGGAAGCCCGGGGCTAGGCCATGACGGTGCCCGACGAGAAGAGCAGGTTGGGGGGGGAGCTGCTTCTCTGACCCCTTCTTCCTCCTTCCTCGACCGAAGTGACCAGAAGCCACACGCAGGGCTCTGTGGTCCGCAGAGAGCCAGATACAGAGGGAAGGACCCGGGAAGACCTTGGCTCAGGTCCGTGCCAGGAGGCGGGTGAGGAGCGGAGGT